ACATCCACGATCACGCTTCTCAAAATCCGAACCCAGGTGCTGTCGGTCCCGCGTGCGAACACTCAACCTCTAGACCACTGAGTCGGACGGTATCCAATGATGTTAATGTCTAACTTCAACTAATTCATGAAATTCAGCCACACATCCACCATTATCTTCAATGAGTTACTATCTCAGAATAGACCCAGTTGAATTCCACTAGTCACTGCTTCTCACTAGGACTCCACAATATACCTATTGATAAATAGTTAGGTTAAAGGATAATTGTTTTACAAAGTGATTTAACCGTATGGATTTCTATATATAATGATACTTTTCATAATTATTTTTAATTCATATCATATTATGTCCAATTAGAATTTAATTGATTTCATTAATTGAGATAATGAGTCATTTGAAGCTAGACCACCATGGAAAACCTAGAAGCATTGGACGACCGTTTCGTTCTATTATGGGACTAGTGACTGATTGCAAGATGTATATCCTAGAGTTCTAGTAAGAGACAGTGACCAATGGAATACAACCGGATCTATTGTAAGATAATAACTCACTGAAGATAATGGTGGACTGCAGCGCGATTCCGTGGATTAGATGAAGTTAGGCATTAACATCGTTATATATCGGCTCAGTGATCTAGAGGTTAAGCGCTCGGGCACAAAATCGATAAGTCCTGGGTTCGAATCTCACGAGGCGGAATCAAGGTTGCTCACTGCTGAGGAGTTCCACCATAGAACAAAACAATCATCCATTACTTCCAAGTACTTCATAATGGTCTAGCTTCAACTGACTCATTCATTCAACTATATAAAAATAATCACTACAATCTCCACAATACCTCTCTCTGTCTCTTTGATTTTATTCATTATCTAACCAATACATATACATACATAGTAATAATGTTTTTATTCAATTCATAAATTACATAAACTCAATCATCACTTCTCAATAATTAAACACACTATAATAGAAATAAAAGTATAATGTTATTATTTATGTCAAACTATTCTTAACTTAGTTTCTAAGTAGCAACTTGATTGAAATAATAATAAAAAGTAGATTAAGAGAACGAGAGTGTGTGTGTGAGAGAGAGAGAGAGGGCGAGAGAGAGGGTGAGAGAGAGAGAGGCGGATGGAATTTGGAATATCTTGTGTACTTTATATAACTTGAAAAGTTATTCATTTGATTAACCATAGGGGGTGATTTTGATGATGATGATAATACTTATTGATTACTTTATAACACACTAATTAATTGCATAAGATTATTGATTATGATTGAATTATTCTTTAGATAGATTTTTGTTCTTTTATTATTATTATTTTCTTCAGTATTTATAAGCAAACTATATTGTTTTCATCAGTATGGGGGTTGTGGAGATTGATAAGTTTTGGTTGAGATCATGAATCAATTGATGTTAGACCACTGTTGGAAACCTGGAAGCACTGGACGGCCGTTTCGTCCTAGTATGGGACTCCTCAGCAGTGCGCATCCACGATCCCGCATCCCGCGGGATTCGAACCCAGGACCTGCTGGCTTCGCGCCTGAGCACTTAACCATTAGATCACTTTGATTAGATCATTATCAAGCTTCACTCTAATATACAATAATATTTATATATACATATATGTAATTATTAAATCAATCAAGACAGTTTATGAGTCCATCTGAAGTTTGTGCTGATGATAACGATGTTGTTCAGAAGAATGATGAAAGTTTCACAACCATATGATCCAGCTCAGAGAACAAAACTCCATCAACAATCAGTTTATGAGTCAATGATAATAGTGGAATAGATTATATAAATAAACATAATAAGTAAAGAGTACAAATTGATGGTGGAATGATAAGTGTATTAGTTGTGATAAGAATAACAAAGGATTGTATCCATGTTTGATCATGGGAATTATGTCAATGATTCGAGTGATATAGATATTGATATAACATTCGTGAAATCTATAAGATGATGTAATAGGATGTGTTCAGATAATTATGCAATGAAGAGTACTGGGTTCGAGTCACGGAGTGAACATCAACTTTGGGATTGAGGTACATTCAGCTGATGAGTCCTTAATAGGACGAAACGTACATCGTGGTTTCCACTACTAGCCACTATCCATCTTTGCTAATGATACTAGTGAATTAAGGCAATGTCGAGGCAATCCTCACAAGATGCACATATGCTAATAAAAGACTGGTCGGTGAGTCGATAATTTATGGACGACCTTTAAGAGACATTAAAGTGACCTTGAGAATGTCCACCGAATAACTAGGATCAAATCAGGGTTAGGGTCAGAAATTAGATTCATGGTTTTTATCACGAACTGACATCAGCTATAATGTCTTAACTCTATTTAACCAAACGCATGAGTGGATTTCGCATCAAAATTAGAGACCTGTTATCTTATACGTGATTGGTTCGTCCATAAATCAATGGGAAGATTCAGACAAACAATATAAAATGAATTAGTAGTGTTTATATAGTAGACAGAAATAAATCAGTTAAAGTGATTTATCGTATTACTGCTAGTTTTCCTTTTGGGATTCGATCTCGTCTCTTGCACAAAACAGAAGCTAATAATCCAACTCTTTGTTAACATAAGAAATCTGTAACACCTTTATCTCTAACTTGGCGTTAATAAATGACTTTATTTATTATTATCTTCTATACACTTTGTTTGTTTATTTTCCTCCACCCGCCTTGCATCTATTTTTTCCCCAAACATAGGCTTTATTGTCCAATTATCTGAACACATCCCATCTCAACATCTGTATCACTTAAATCCTTGACATAATTCCCATGATCAAACATGGATACAATCCTTTGTTATTCTTATCACAACTAATACACTTATCATTCCACCATCAATTTGTACTCTTTACTTATTATGTTTATTTATATAATCTATTCCACTATTATCATTGACTCATAAACTGATTGTTGATGGAGTTTTGTTCTCTGAGCTGGATCATATGGTTGTGAAACTTTCATCATTCTTCTGAACAACATCGTTATCATCAGCACAAACTTCAGATGGACTCATAAACTGTCTTGATTGATTTAATAATTACATATATGTATATATAAATATTTGTGTATATTAGAGTGGAGCTTGTTAATGATCTAATCAAAGTGATAACAATATAGTTTGCTTCTATATGTTGTTCTTCAGTTTCTTCAGTATCACTTTCGATGAATGTCAACAAGTGCGAAATTCTTCATACAACATTATCCCCCTAACTATCTAACTAACTGTCAGCATTCGTCATTGATAACGAAAGAAGACAGTTCAATTTTATAAGTCTTATTACAACTTTTGGTGAAGTTACTATTCAAAATCCGTTTATAGATCTCCTGATAAGTTTGATGACAGCATAAGAAACTCAAAACTTTGAATTATATTGTGAACTAATAAATTTATAGTCATCTATGCCAACAATGATATCATGATATTGTTCAACAAAAGTATACAATAATTTTGTTGAATGTAAAATAACATTGTTCAGTATTCAAAATTGATTCAACACTGGATGGTGATTAATGTTATGTGTGTCAGGTCTTTCTTAGTACAGATCGAATGCTATCGATCATGTTACAATGTGGCAACCAGTTTAGGTGACTCGACATTGCGTGCACTATGTTGAGATATGATGTTGGTTGGAGGTAGTCAACATTAAACTCTGTAACCGAGTTTTGTGCTATTTGACACTCGTCAGAAAGGTGTACCTGTAATCTTGAAGGAACTGGTGCTCTCTGACGGATTTGATCCCGTGTCATCCAGGGTTTCTTGTTGACTACTTCCAACCACCATCTTATCTCGACACTGTCGAGGTCATTTATAAAGAAATGTTTATTTATCTACAATCTCAGTATTATTAATGTGTAAATGGAAAGCTTGACGTTAGGCATAATTAAATGAAGAACAATATGATACATAAATTTAGTATGATCAAACATGTTCACTCCTGTGAAGTATTTGTGTTATGCCCAACAAGAATAATGAATGGTAACTATTGGGATCTATTGATGGACCAATACTAAACGTATATTTCTATTGTATAATTGTTAAGTAACTAAACTATGCATATTCATATTCCTCGTATTATAAGCTTTATTTTGACCTATAAACTATTATTATACGTTTTACTATTTTTGAGTTATACCCAGTCTATTAATTACAGTCTCCCTCATTCACAGCCACATCTGGCCAAATCTTGTATAAATGTTATTTTCTATTTTATGGTACGATTTGGTCCGTTTAATTGGTATATAACACTCAGTATGTTTGAAATATAAGGATTCATATTGTAGAGGCTGAGATTGGCATTCTGGAATTAACTGGCTGGGCTAGGCGGAAAGCAGGACCAATCAGGACTCTAAACTGTTCGAACGTGTTTTACGCGTCCTTGGTCCGATCGATAAGTCACTGCCCTCTAATCAGTGGTCGCAAGTTATAACAAGTTGCTTGTATGAAATACATATGTGATTCTTCACATGAATAATTTATTCTCTCTAGTGACTGGAACTTACTTAATAAATGGTTTACGTATGTGAAGAAGATTTGTGAAGGTTATTTAGATTCAAAGGGGTTTTCATTGTCTGTGTTTAGCGTCGGAAATTGACATGACTGTTTGACTGAGCCCTTCAGCTCTTTAAATCCATTAAATCTAACATGATCAGGATCTATGATAAGTGCTTACTAATCTGATAGTTATTTACTGGAACTCATTCTATAAATAACACTTATGAATTGTATTTTTACTGATTTTTTTTTGTGTGATCGTTTTAGGATCATCGATCAGTGAATCAACACTTACTTCTGGAACATATACTTTACCAGGTGGTGGAAATTCACAAATTCAACGACGTGGTTCAGCTTCTTGTAAATTTGAATCTCCTATTATTTATACACCAAACTATAATTACAGAAAAAAACGATACATACGAAAATTATCGTCCACTTTCAGCTCCAAAAACTTATTCTAATCATCGTTTACAAGTAATGAATTCAGATCTTTTAATCAAGTATCCTGAATTGGATTATTCACATGAAAATCTTTCATCACAACCTTATGATATACAAATTCAATCTAATAGAAACTATAATATTCGATCAAGTTATGAAATTGAATTGAATAAATATAAACATTCTAGTAATAGAAATAATTCCAGTAATAGATCCCATTCAAGATTCAATACAATCACAGGTTCGTTTAATTATAAATCATTGAATGATGGATTGAAATTTTATTCATCAGTAAGATCTCGTTCCAATCCATTTAAAGTAGACTATCATCAAGAGAATGCATCTGATACTCATAATCAATATAGTTTCCTTCATTCAGGTAATGAATCACATAGACGTCCACTTCTTTCTAATTTACAAAATCAATTAAATCCCTCTCATACAAATGATGTATCAAAAACATATAGACCATTAAGTAGTCATGAAAAACATTTATCAACACGTTCACTTTGTTCAAGATTACCATCACAAAAACATCTTGAACAAACTAATGAGATTGGTTTATATAAAACTGCAATGTTTGTTATTCCTGCACCTACTTCTAATTCTTTACCGAATGTACAAAATGATGATTTTATATCTTATAGAAAAACTCCCATGGATCAATCAGTTCATTATTATAATCATAATCGTCGTCAACATCATCACCATCATCATCATCATCATCGACATAGAGATAACAGTGATGGTTGTCTAAATACTAAATATAATGAAAAAGTACGTACTTATATTTGTAAAGGTTGTGGACGTTCATCGTTGAAACGTAAGAAAGTGAAAAATTCAACTTATTCTCTTGGTAATTCATGTATATCATTAGATAAATGTTCAACGCCCCAATTTATTCATTCAACTAATAATAATAATAACAGTCATCATTCTCATCATGATATAGAAGATGATTATGAACGGATTATATTTCAATCCCCTGAATATTCCCAAGATGATCATCGATATTATACATCAATGGATAGAAAATCTTACAATTCCAATATAATAAGTAATAAGTCTCGATTTAATGTCATTCCAAATAGTAATGTGAATAGTTTAAATCAAATTGAATTATATGATCATTTATCAAAAATTTAAAATCTTCACATCAAATATCTAAATTAGATTGTAATAAAATTATAGTTGATATTAAACCAAGACAAATGAATGAAGCGGATAAACAACAACATATAACTCAATGGATTCAACTTGGTACATTAGGTGATACACCTAGTTCACCAACTATATCACCATTACCACCTGATGAATATCAAGATAAAGATTTTATGATACATTCATCAAGATATTCTGAGGAACAAGATAATGATAATAATGAGAATGAGAATGAAGATGATGACGATGATGACGATGCTATTGCTATAACTACTGATAATGAAGAGAATCAAGACTATAATGATTGGATTCATTCAAAAGTAATCACACATAATCAAGACATAAATAACAAGGAATCATCTTATGAACAATATAAACAACAAGAAAATCGTGATGATAATGATGATAAAGATAAAGAAGTGAAAATACAAATTATTAAACAACAAGCAAATTTCACTTTGAATAATGAAAAACATGAAAACCCTCATGAAGGTAATTTAATTATTAGTCGACCAACATCTGACTATACAAATACTTCGACTAATGAAATCAAATTAGAATTTGTCAATAATCCAAATCATAATAATCATCATCATTATAGTAATTTTAGTAATACTAATTACGCTACTGTTAATGAAGTAAGTAGTATAAAGAATAAAATAATTATGGATCCAATGAATTCAAACACAAATCTTCTTCTGAATAATTCACTTGTTAAAAATACTTTATCACCTGAACCATTGAATGAACCATCACCTCAATCAACATCTACAGAAGATATTACTTCTAATTCTAAATCTAATCATAAGAATAAATCTCAAAATGAACGTATTATTACTATTAAAGATTTAAGTAGTTTAAATGATCCGACTAAATCATCTCTAGGTAAACATTCTTCATTATTAAATCCTAATATGAATTCAAATGAATATAATGATATAACATCATCATCATCATCATTAAAATGTATCCCATCTATATTACCTAAACCAAAATTATATAATATGAATGAAATCAGTAGTATAGAAAAACAAAAAAATCCTACATTAATTACATCAGAAATACGTTATATGAATAGTAAAATATCAAGTCATTTATCAAATACAACAAATATCAATTCATTATTATTAAATACAAATTCAAATCATATAGAATTAATAAATGGTTCAACTGAACTAGCAACTGATTTATATCCAAATTTAGTGAAAACACGTGATACACCAATACCAAATGTTAAAAGTTTAGTAACCTATTTTACAGAATTAATTAAAGTTCATACAGATCTAAATGAGATCAATCATTCGAATAATAATAATAATATAAATAAAGAAAAAGATAATCATCATTATGATATTACTTATAATCAATTTAATAGTAGTAATAATAATAATAATGATGATAATGCTGATTTAGATATACCAGCAAATATATCACCATTTTTATTACATCATGAAACACCTATTGCAAGAGAACGTCGTTTACAAGCTGTTGAAATGTTAAGACGTCGTTCAACAATTCATATGACATATGATCGTTATAGAGTATTTCCACCTGGTTACAATACATCAACATCACCATTATTAGAAAAATTCAATCGTAATATAATAAATAATAACAGAGATGACTGTAATACTACTAATAATAATACTGACAATAATAATAATGATGTTTGTAATGGTAATAATAATAATGATAATAATGAAAACAATAGTCATATATTTATAAAGCAACATAATATTGATCCTATTCATCAATCCATTTCATCACCAAAATATCAAGTACGTATGCAAGCCAATTTACAAAAAGATTCAACAGCTATAGTTGCTTAATAGATTTTTTTTCGGGGGTGGGAGTGGGGGTGGAAATTATTTTAATACATTTATATAACACATAGATCATTATTAATAATAATAATAATAATAATAATAATAATCGTCAACCGTTGTTTTTTTCTTTATAATTTTTTATCTGTTTGGCATCAACTCCACCCTTCTCGAAATTTTCTTGATCATTTTTTTCTTTTTTCTTTTCATTCCTTTTTTTATGTCATTTCAACTATAATTTTAAATTATTCTGTTATTATCCATTAAAGTTTTTGTAATTTTTTTTTGTAGTTTCTTCCCGCCCCCCCCCACTTTTCGTTTTCCTTTATTTTTTCTTCTCTATTTTTGTTTTCATCTCAAGTTCAAAAGAATAGTTGATTTTTTTTCTTCACTTTATGAATTATAATTCTAAATCATTTATGATTATAAAGAAAGTTTTTGTAATTTTTTTTCGTGATTTCTTCTCCCTCCTCCACTTTTTGTTTTTCTTTATTTTTTTCTTTTCTCTTGTTTTCATTTCTTTTTGTTTCATTTTAAGTTCAATAGAATAGTTCAGGTTTTTTTAACCTTATGAACCATAATCTTAAATCACGTTTTAACTATGGATAGACGTTTTTGTATTTTTTTCGTTGTTTCTTCTCCTACCCTTTTTGGTTTTTCTTTATTTTTTCTTTTTTTCTTCCTTTTGGTTTTATTTCAAGTTCAATAGAATAGTTCAGTTTTTTAACCTTATGAACTATAACTTTAAATCATTTTTTTTATGATGAATAAAAGTTTTTGTATTTTTTTCGTTGTTTCCTAACTCGCCCCCCCCCCAAAATTTTTTTCGCTTTTCTTTATCTTTTTTCCTTTTCTCTTCATCTTTCATGTTCATAGTTCAATATTTTATTTCAAGTTACATTCATTTAAACATGAATATCAATAGCCAATAATGATTTCACAATGTATAAATAATCAAAAAAGTAAAACAAAACAACAACAACAAAAAAGAAAAGAAAAGAAAAAAAAGAAAACAACTTTCCCTGATGACAATGATGTCGTTTAGTCAATCAAAAAAATAAACAAACAAACCTAAAAGTAGTCAATACAGACTACTGGTTTTTTTTGTTGAAAGATTGAAATTTATTTTGAATAATTTAATCAAACTTATAAATAAGATAATGAAAAGGTATCTAAGTGTTTCATTGAGAAAAATTTCATATCATTTTATATCATTCATAAGTAATTGTAATAATCAAAAGGATAACAACAGTACTCATTCAAATAAACAATAAAGTTGTTAAATGTGTTTATAAATCAAAAGGGAATTGAGGAGATTTTAGAAATTTCACAGATTGAAATCATGAGCCAATTGAAGCTAGACCACTATGGAAAACCTGGAAGCATTGGACGACCGTTTCGTCCTAGTATGAGACTCCTCAGCAATGCGCAACCCAGATCCCGCCTTCCGAGAGATTCGAACCCAAAACCTATCAGTCTCGCGCCAGGCGCTTAACCAACTAGACAACTGAGCTGGCGTCCAGCGGTGTTAATGTGTCACTTAAACCAATCCACGAAGTTGCGCCACCGTATTTATAAGTGATAAAGTATTTTACTATGATTAAGTGTTGAATACATGAATTCATTGAAGTTAGATCACAATGGAAAATCTGTGATCTGTAGAGTTTAATCGGATCTGTTGTGAGACAATAACTCACTTAAGACAATAGTAAACGATGGTGCAACTTTGTGAACTGGTTGAAGTTAGACATTAACACCGTTGAATGCTGGCAGTCTCAGTGGTTCATGCTCTAGACTCATAGGTATCGGGTTCGAATGTCACGAGGCGGCATTGTAGATGTGAACTGCTGAGGTGTCCCATGCTAAGACGAAATGGCTATCCATTACTTCCAGGTATTCCATGATGATCTAGCTTCAACGAACTTATAAATTGAACTACTAAATTACAATGATATTCACAAAACCCCTCTCTCATTTTACTATAAATTTGTATTTGACTGAGATCAGGAATGGATTGATGTTAGATCCCGCGAGCAGAATCGTGATGCGCACTGTCAAGGAGGAGTCCCACAACAGGATGAAACGGCCGTCCAGTGCTTCCAGGTTTTCAATGGTGGTTTAAAATCAATCGGTTCATGATCTCAATAAAAACTGAGTTATTTTCACAACCTTATACTGATAATTACTATGTGCTCACCAGTGACTAGCTTCATGAGGGAATTCTCGGAGTTCTGGTGAGAAATAGTGACTTCAGTACAATGGAAGGTAGTCGCGCAATTTCATGGATTGGTTGAAGTTAGACGTTAACAACGTTGGTTACCGGCCGGATCAGTGGTTTAATGGTTCAGCGCTAGCGCGCAAAACTAATAGGTTCTGTGTTCGAACCTCATGAAGACACACTGCTGAGGAGTCTCACAATAGGAAGAAACGGTCGTCCAGTGCTTACAGGTTTTCAATTATGGTCTAACATCAATCGATTCGTAATCTCAATCAAAAACTTAATAATCTCCTTAACTCCATACTGTTAGAAATTTGTAATAAGTTTGCGATAATCTCAAAATATCCACAAAGATCTTTTTTAATATATGAAAGATGAAAATGTAAATAGCTATCTCATTCATCAAACATTGGTCTTCTTATCACTCGTCGCTGTATCAATAACAAACCACTGCTGAGGTGATGTACTTAATTTTTTCGCTCTCGATTTCTATTGACAATCATTTCATCAATGTTTTAAAAACTCCTCACCAGTTGCAACCCTCAGATTTAAACTGAGAATTCATGTAACATGAATAATCCATCTTGATTCCTACTATTCCAACAGTTAAGTATTTACTCATCTGAAACATTCAATGAGAAATATGATCTGAATTTGGATGAAATGAAGTATTTAGTTCTAACATAAAGCGGGAAGTTTACTAGTTCAGTAATATCTAGATATTACTGTAGACTTCTAGGTTTAGTTAGAGGCACATATATCAATAAGTGAGAGACATTAATCAATTTCAGTCATGATTAACAATCGAAAGATAAAAGTAAACAACACCAAGTGAGCTTGAAAATTTGCCCTATTTCACAGGCAGGCGGCTATCAAAACTCAGTAACTGAATGGATAACATGATAGCGTTTGAAGCAGACGGTACTGGGTACGAATCGCGGAGTGAACATCAAGTGTGGGATGAGGACACATCCAGCTGACGAGTCTTAAATAGGACGAAACATGTGTCCTGGATTCCATTTCTATAGTCACTATCCATCTTTGCTTAAAAAGCTTGTGACTTGAGGCAATATCAAGGCAATCCTTACAGGATGCACATATACCAATAAGTGAAAGAAACTGATCATTTCGGAAATTGTTTTCAAATCAAAATGTTTTCTCTTAGCTATGTTAACATAGTTTGAGAAAACTAAATGAACGAGATAAAACTTAAATGTTTGGTTTAAAGTTCTACCCTAACCGTATGAAATGAATCCCTCTGGGTTATTTCTTATTAAGTAGAAATGACTTTTGTCTATATAATCACTTATCATTTGTTTATCACTTTAAATTATATTTAAAGTAAATACTACAAGCTTATAATTTCGTTACACAATTCTATTTGAACTTTAAAATAAGGCTTTCACTACTGATATATGTGATATTTCTGTTGGGACGGCTTCCGAGAACTACACCGGAGCCTCTAGAAACCCTAAAGGAGTCGAAGGGTTCCATCTAATCAGAACGTAGTAGAGCTTTCTAGAACATCAACGTGGCAGGCTACTATTGTCCATTAGCATAACATGGCTCTTCGCTGATTGGTTGAATTATAATGTTGATTTAACAAACGTTAATATCTATAAATACCCATAATTTTCTGCACATCTTGATTCTTATCGAACAAGAACTTTCTCCAGTCTTCTTCTGTCTTCTTATTTGCAACTTGAAAGGTTCTAGCGTTCGATTGCTTAAGTTATATCCGATATATAAAGTACCTTAACTCTAGATATGACAATTTTTCATTATTTGATCTATCCAAGAAGATAGTACAGTTTTAGTCGTTATGAACATGGATTCAATCATTTTCAGTCCAATGTTTGCAAAGAGTTCAAGTTACTTAAGTAAATTCAAGATTTCTTTTCTCTATATTATATCATTATGTTAACGATTAAATAGAATGATATCAACATCTCTATGTAATGTGATTCAAACGTAAATGATACTGTCCATCATGATAAATAACTGAATGTTTCGATTTCTGTATCAGATGTTACATGTGAAACATTAATACTTTTAAATTATTATATATTTAATTCACTTGGTATTACTTGTTTGTAACGTCACATTGTTGTTTAGGTCTACAATTGATCAGTCTCTTGTTGGCATATTTAATATTGACAATAAAAAATGAACAAAAATGTATAGTAGCTATAGCAGTGGAATCCAGGACACATGTTTCGTCCTATTTAAGACTCGTCAGCTGGATGTGTCCGCATCCCACACTTGATGTTCACTCACTTGGTGTTTTTTACTTTTATCTTTCGATTGTTAATCAGGACTGAAATTGATTAATGTCTCTCACTTATTGGTATATGTGCATCCTGTGAGGATTGCCTCGACATAGCTTTAGGGTACAAGCACTTTAAGCAAAGATGGATACAAGTAAACCAACATTAAGTGAATAATGAATGAGTTTCGTTTATCACAGTGTCAGTTGGTACCATGACCAGTGTGAACTTTTCTATTATAATTTTCTTATATTATTTAACAAACCTTTTTATCTTGATATCCCTAACTCTATAAAATACAAGATTTCTATCATGATAGTGATCTTTGATTCAAAATATGGACAAATATTTTCTAATTATTGCCTATTACTTTTACATTCTAATCACTTAATGACATCTATGTAATACCGAGCTGTTAAGTATGTAAGAGAAAACTTAGCTTGTCCGTTTAATTTCATGGTGACAGTTGACTTCATAATGATACATTTTGTTAATTAAGAAATGAATGAAACAAATTATGAAACTGGATAAACGTTATGGGTTCGAATGTCGCGTTTGAGGTCATGGATTTGTACTATTGAAGAGTCCCATACTAAGACGAAATGGCCGTTCAATGGTACCGGGTTTTCAGTGGTGCTCTAACATTCATCGATTCATGATATCAATTAAAAAAAGCTCATAGTTAGACCATTAGTGAAAACCCGTTTTGTACCAATATAGGACTCCTCAACAGTATTCAAAGTATAAGGAAGTATGATTTACGACGGGTGGCTTCATAATGTGAAATCATGAACACTTAGTGTCAAACAAGACAGTGG